CTTTAATAATACAAAATGGAAGCATAATGTGATAGTAGTGAGTGGGAGACTGGCCCACCTCTGCTAATAAGGTCTTTGTATTGATTATTCAATAAACGATGGGGGCCGTAGGAGAAGTATTGGCAACATAGTTCCTTCTCCGGTCCTCGATACCATAGAAAAAAAAAAAAAAAAAAAAGATAAATAAATACCTAACCAGATGTTTTCAACTATAAGTTATTACTTATAAGTTATAACATATCACTTATTGGTTAAAAATGTCTAAAATTAAATGTTATAATTTATTTATAAGCAAATTCAACACATAATGCCAGAATTAATTTACTTAAAAATACGCTATCAGTCCTTCACTTACAATTATTAAACATTGTTGTAAACAGTTTTAACAGATTTAACGATGTATGTAATTTGTATGTTAACATCAATCACCAACAAGGATAATACCATAATACCATATATATATAACTCCAATCCAAAAGAAAAGACAACCAGATTTGTGCAACAAAATAACAATATTTGATAGTCACCAAGGATCATATTCAGTTTCCACTCCACCATATTTTCAAACTTGACAGGCTAATTCGGTGTGCTTACCCAATCTCAAAGACAAAATAATGAGTCAGTTATGAAATATATTAGATGCAATATGCATATTTACATACCTAAAGACATACACAGAAAGTTGCATAATGATAATTTCTATTATTATTATTAATTCATAATTTATTAATTATTCAATTATAATCAACATATATTTTAAAAGCTCTAAATAAGAGTCATTCAATCGGTTGCCAAATGTTGGTATCTCACATACATAGACAACCGTTTTCTTGGTGGGGATGTGAGCATTCCAACTAAATCTTGTCACTGCCTGGTGTCTGCTCTGTTTGGACAGAGTATAGAAGATTAAACCTCAAACCACCATTTATTCCATTAAAAATGTATTGCTATTACACAATATTGTAAGTATTTCCAAATTTGTAATAGTTGTTTTATGTTCATTCCATTATATATTTTTCAATATCTTATAAATCATATAATTACATAAGATTTGCACATTGACAAATATTTTTGTTATTTATTTCAAAAAACAATTGAACTTTTAATTAGCCACAGCTAATATACATGCTTGATGATATTTGATTACATACATAATACTATCTGAAGATTTCTGAACTATCTAAAAACTCGTAAAGATAAATTAAAAAACCAAATAAACTTTACCATTAAAATAAAAAATAATTATTATTGCACTTAACTATAAAATATAACTGACAATTCTATATTCTTAATGAAAACAAGGATTCTAATAATAAAAATGTTTTTCATTTATATCCCAATAAATAATATTATATTCTTTATACATATTATATAATTTTAACTGTTTGTTTAATTGATTGAAAAATATTTAATATAAACCGAAGTTAATGGTTATAATAATATAACCTATTTTATGAATTAATACAAAACAAAGTAATACAAATTGAAGAAAAATAAAATTAAAACAATAGTGAAAGTACATATTTAAATTAATCTGTGTACTTGTATGAAATATAAAATGAAAGTGGTACACACACAATCAAAAAAAAAATAAAAATAACAGTTAAATTGTCAATCATTGGAAAAATAATACAAGTATAAAGGTAAAATCCCAAAATGATTTGGGTCTTAATGTAAAATTTAATTCTTTTAACATAAAGAATAGTTAATTAATATACACGACTAGTCAATTTTTTTACACACTATTTAGTATCAATCTTCTCAGTTTCCATTTTAGCCACTACACCATTTGAAATTTCATCGGCAGTATCAATGGTATCATTTGTCTGATTCTGACTTATACTGTCATCTTCTTTTTTGTCTTTCTTCTTATTTTCACCAACTTAAAAAGTAAAGAATTATTAATTAATATTAACTATATTTAAATAATAATAATAAAATAGTACCATCTTCTGTTTCATTTCCTTCACTAGTTGAACCTTCTCGACGTCGCTTGCGAGTAAAACGTTGTTGTTTAATTGGAAGCATTTCCATTCCAAGTACTTTATTCACTTGTCTGAAGGTTAGCAATCGCAACGCATTCTATAAATTAAATTTTACTATATAATTGATTTGTATTTATTAATACATTGGATATGTACAATTGATGTAATATTAAATTGAAAAATAAGATTAACTATAAAAATGTTTAATTAAAGAATATGTACATTAAAATACAGTGAGCAGTATTCAATAATCTGCAGCCCCATCTGAATTGCATCCAAAAAATCATGTACAATAAATTATAAGAAAAAAATTGTAAGATATCAAAAAATTCAATATAATGAATTTAATTGAAAAGTAATTATTTTAAAGAGTTTCAATTGAGTGTGATAACAAAATATTTGATATATTGACCTAGTAAGAATCTACTGTACATAAAATATAAATGGTTATACAACCCTAACTGTGTATGCAGTTTGTGAAATGTAGGACCAATTAGAGTCTACAATAATTGTTTGTAGGTTATAAAAATTTGAAACCATTTACTCTCACAAGTGAAATGAGATGTTTTATTTTTCAGATCCAAACATTTACTGACTGTTAGAATTGTTAACATCAAAAAATGCATACCTGAAATTTCAAATAAACAGCAGATGGATAAGTAATAGAGATTTAAAAACTGTATGACTCTGTATTAAGAACAATAACAAGCCTTGAGTTAATTGAGATATGAACCTACAAAAACTTACCAAAAGATAAGTCAAAATCTTGAATCATTAACTCATACTCATTCTTTAAGTGAATGTCAGCACATGATTCATTATCTATTTCTGATTCACACACAAAATACCAAATGTATGTCATGTAAGTACTGCAAGCACAATTTGACCTATGTACAGTGTTAAGACATAATTCAAATGTGCTTCACTACATGTGAGTAGGGTAGGAAAAAGGTTAACTATAGGTATGTTGGACACGGGAGCAATCGACACATTTGTCTTGGTAACTTTTAAATACTCAGACTACAACCGTGACATCAAGGAAAATTAAGCCTGTGATCAATGTCCCTTACTTTATCGAGATAGAGCAATGAAAGCACGAGCGCTATTTCCCAACGTAAATGCTCTAAAGTAAAATAGAACTTCTAATAACAAGCATAATGATAACTGATATCACTGCAACACTCACATGATCAATATTTACGTTTGTCTAGTGGCCTACCCGTAAACACTGATAGTAAATAAGCGCCCATGTAAGAACGCACCCCAATTCAAGCTCAGAGATGTCACAATACATCAAACCAAAATTATCAGAGTGAGCTAGGTTTAATAAGACATTCATCACGGCTACATTCATAATAAGAAAAAAAGAAAATACTATAAATAAATTGAACTAAAAATAAAGTTCGTTAGATATTAATTATAATTTACCTCACTACTATGATAAAACAATAGGCTGGGTTTAAGATTTATAAGAAGTAGAAAGTCAATAGAGTATAAATTCTTTAAATAAGGTTTAATTACTAACTAAAAATCAGATAAATATGATTTAGCATCAGCATGACTATGTCAATCAGAGTGAGCTAGGTTAAATAAATCATCAGGTAAAATTAATAATATGTTAATTATTTAGGTTTATAATGTAAAACTATAGTCAGATAAATATGATTTAGCATCAGCATGACTATGTCAATCAGAGTGAGCTAGGGTAAATAAATCATCAGATAAAATATTTGTTAATAGTTTATGTTTACTTTATAACTATCAAGTCAGATAAATGTGGTTTAGCATCAATACGACAAAGCGTCATCAGTGTGAGCTAGGTTAAATAAATCATCAGGTAAAATTAATAATATATTAATCATTTGGGACTATCAAGTCAGAAAAATATGATTTAGCATCAGAATGACTGTGTCAATCAGAGTGAGCTAGGTTAAATAAATCATCATTTTAAAAAATAAAAAATTTTTATTTTGTCAAGTCACATAAACAATTTTTTTTTAAATTAAAAATGACATGCCAAAAATTAATCTTAAATAATAACTTCTTAAAAGTGTCAGCAATCTCCTCTATCGAAAGCCAAAAAACAAACATTAAAATAAAGTACATTTTGTTTATACTAAGATAAGTGATTAATAATACATTATTTATGGTACGACAAGTGCTCAACAAATTGTAGTTTACAGTTAACAATACTGAAGAATATTGTGGGTTTTCAATTAAAAAAATTTGCTGGTTATACATCAGCAAAAATATCAAATTGTTATATTGTAATCATTATTAATTGTTTATTTTTAAAAATTATTGTAATTCTATTAAATTGTCTAATATTATAAACCTAAATAGATGGCTGTTTATTACTAACTCTTTCCCTTCCCCCTGCACACAATATTGGAACATTATATTACCTGAGCAGACAGTGTTATGTCCTCTCGTTGTTGCACTGTAAGTGATGCCAAAGCATCAACAGGATCTTTTTCACATGGGTCAACTAAATGGATACCAGTTGCCCCTGGCAATAAGGCACCACTAGCAATTGATTCTAAGAAACGCCTCAATGATTCAGCGGGGCTCAAACCAGCAGCAGCATTGAGTGAGTTGGGAGGAAAGGCACTAGTTAAAACACGTTCAACAAACAGTTCCAACATCTGAAAAACATTTATTATGAAGTATAGAGATAATATCATTTACATTTTAAATCTTTATTACCCATGAGGTGAAAGGATGCCATTTAGGTTCTCGCATGATGAAGTCTTTTAAAATACGTATGATCAAAGGTCCATTAGCAATTACAGCCAATCTAGCCTAAAATATTGTAATAACAATATTAAATTTTAATTCACTTCTAATTTGAAATGAGCCATTTTTACACATCAATTGATAATACATATAAATATAATTAAGTATTAATTTAAATAATGGAAACAACATATCTATTAAATAAAACTCATTAAGTATATATAGTTTAATATAATCTTATATTATACAATATATAAAGTAATAACTTGATTGATAGTATGTTGGCTCATCCCAGTAAATTATTGTTTCAAAATGTATAATATTTAGTTATTTTTTCTCATTATGTAATACAATCGAAACGGGAATTTCTAACACGCATGTAATCAGCAGCAAATGCATATTTTTTGTACTTTCCAGCCTTACACATTCGGTTATCAATAATATTATTCCAAATTCAAAAAATAACAGTTTATACCGAATTACCAAGGATGTGTGCTTAATTTCTAACCTCAACAGACACTATCTACATAAAAATACACTCTTTTAGAGCATAAAGCTTTGGATGTATATTAAAGAAAAAATAGTTATACTCAGTTAGGAAGAATATATGTAATAAAATAAGAATTGATAAGGAATTCAATTAAGCAGTATGTTCAACTAGCTTCTCACAAAGTAGGTACATATTAATCCCCTTTTCGATTTTATTTTGTATTTACTCACATACCCACACATACACATACATACATACGCACACATCCATCTCATTTGTACATTCGTGTATTGTAGGGACACCACCCTGTTGATTATCAGTTATAAATTGGGTGCCCCGCAAAGCACACGATTATACATTTGTGTACTTTTCAAGTATAAACAATCAAGAAGTATATGTATAATATAAATACATACAACATGAATACTATGATCTACAATAAAAAAAAATCTTTAATTTAATTTAATTTATTATATATAAAAAAAATCATATTTGCTTATGGCAAATATGATAAATTTCGCTAAGCTGGAAAGTAATAAATAAATAGGCAAACCTGAAACCATTTGGCATGCCTGATGGCAGCCAATGCTTCCAAACATTTTGTCTTGTCCAAAACGTGTTCGCCAGGCACAATGGCCACTGGTTCCGTCTGTTGGCTTTCTACAATAACAACCCCAAACAAAACAAAAAAATGTGCTCAGTATGTTATTTCCCAAAGAGTGTTTGACCATTACATATATATTAAATACTTATTCATCTTATTGGATTGCTTTCAAACTCAATTTATTCAATGTAAAACTAGATATGTCTAGATATAACAATCATCATTTTACACTTATCCGTAATATATAATTTTTAATCACCATTAACAATAAATTATGCATACTAAATAATCCCTATGGTACCAAATGGTAAAATTATGTGATCTAGACGTCTAGTACAGCATTTTCCAACCTATGGTATGTGTAATTGAAAGCTCAAAGGTACGCAGAGAAAATCTAACTTTATGAGAAAAATGTAATGGAATTAAAATTTAATAGTATTTGGTTTATTTTATAATATAAATAATAATTATACATACATAATTTTGTTTCTATTCATTAAATGCTTCTATTGTCTTAAATTTGAAGTTCTTAATAAAACAAAATTTCATACATGTAAAATAAAGTGTACATTTTTGATCAAGTGGTACATCAAGATGTTCGAACTGAGTAGGTGGTATGCAGGTATAAAACGGTTAAGAACCACTTGTCTAGAACATTTAATTTTTGAATCATATGAATGATTGAATGAGTCGTCAAAAAGACAACTGTAAATTTAAAATTTACAAAAATTGAATTTTTATTTGTATAGAATTATTCCATCAACTTAAGAGATGTTTCAAGTTTAGAGTATCATGATAATGGGCTTTTTACAAACAAGCCATGCAATAGGCAAGATTCAGTGACCGTCTCTTAGTGTCTTCAACTGCTATAGAGCACAGACATTACCTACCTTCAAATATAAAGGATACAACCCTATCATATTGAGATGACAGTAAACTCATTCCAAACAATCTCTTATTTGTATAAGCATAACGAACTAACAGCAGTAATTGATGGTAAAATAAATTAGTGGTATATAGCTGTTTATTTCAAGTGTTTAGGTTGCTGCCTAAGGATTTTAGATAACTTGGAACTGTATATTTTGACTAAACTCAACATATTTATTCATAACATTTTGTATGAATAAAAATAGGCAAAGAAATGGAGAACAATTAAACTCTTAATTAGATCCTTTAAACATGATCACAGCCACCAAATTATTATGAATTTAATTTATTTCAACTTTGCACTCTTTTATCTAGGCACGTGGGTATTGTACAGTTAAAGAGATAATGCCCATTCAAAATATGATATTAGTACATAATAAAGTAATGTATAAAATTATATATTAAAATACATGTCTATCCATACTTGATGTAGGTGGCTAATGATCCAATTATTTTTCCAAACAATTAATAAGGATAGTTAAGAACTTGTGTCTTGAAAATGTTTTATTTCACACGCATTTACAATACAATCAGCTCTAGACATTCTAGAAAAACCCGACACCAACATAAGTTAGAAGCCAGCAAGCATATCTACCCACCCAACAACTAGGTACGTACAGACATAATTAACTCATAATATGTAATACTTGTAACACATCATACACCTGCTTATGTACCTAAAATTATGATTAATTATTCACATAGACAGACAACAAAAAAGAAATTTATATAAATAAGTTGAGACATTCATTATTTATTCTTTAAATATAAAAATGTCAATCGATTCAACACTTTAAACTAAAAATATCTCAAGTTTGAAGAGTATTTCTTACAGACCAAAAGATAGAAATCTCGATCTTAAAGATCACAATAGAAAAGTTTTTATTAACTAAATTTTCAAAAAATCTGTCTTGCATGAAAAAGCTGCAAGGTCGGCACAATGGTAACTTGTAAAAATTATGATGGCATTTAAAGATTTATTTTGTTGTTAGTATCATGAAAATTTGTTTACTAAAACAACAATGGCAAGATTAAAAATTTAATAGGTTATTTGATCATGTGGCACCATCAATAGTACAAACTATTACCAAATCTTCTCTAATAATTGTAAATACTATAAATAAACAAGAAGTTGTATCATTACCTCTTTGACATACAAAATATGTATCAAGTTAAACAAAAATTAGAAAATATTATCTCAAGCAATTTAAATTTTAACGTAAAGCAAACACTTTTACACAAAAAAACATAATGACACCATTCACAATTTTTGGTCTAGTTGTCAGATGGATAATTTTTATTTTTGATACCTATAAATCTCATTAAATAATAAGGTAGAGACTGAAGCCCAAACCATATTAATTCTTAAAATATAACTTACTATAATCTAACTTGTTTTTAGTATTAAGAGCAACACAATTAACACAATAATCATAACCATATGGTCAAAAACCCTTTTCAAAAAATATTTTCTTTTTCAGTACATACTCATGACAAATTTACCATCTACATTGACGTCAATGTAATTACGGTGTATTTAAAACTCCCTACATACCTGGCCCTGGCACCCTAGTTTTTTATGAACTATTAAATAGGATAGGATAGTAAATTCCTATGAATAAATAAGTATAGTAAGTATTCACTTACCTCCTTCAGCTGCACTCAAAATAGCCTCTCTTATAGAAGGTGAGGTAAGGGTGACATTAACAACATATTTTTCTTCATCTGAAATGATCTCAACTGTTAATTTTGCTGTTGCTTCATCTTTATTCACAGTATATGTATCATCCTTAGCAACTATCTGTAAAGGTATACAATAAAAACATATAAATATTTTATTACAACTTAGCATTAGAAAAAGTATAATACCTTCAATTTTTCTGGTAAAATAGTGACAACTGAGTTTAATAATGCTACAGTTGGAGGTACAGAACATATGATTACTAAGTCTACCTCATTTTCATTAACTAATAATAACCCTTTGGAAAGTGCTCCAACACGCATAGAACCAGTCATTGTCTTTATTATTTTAGTATCATCTTTTTCAGTAGTAAAAGTAAACCTATGCAAAAATTTGACATTTAATAAATTTTAGTTAGAAACTGTATGTGCTACTCACATTGAGCCATCTCGGCCATCTTCTTTTGCAGTTGTTGCCTTTTTTGTTGGTTCTTTTTTTACTTCTGTACTCTCACTTACAATTTCTGTTTCAGGGACTGGAACAACTACTTCTGTAACTATTTAAATAAAAATGTATACCTTTACCATAAATATAATCTAATAGAATATTTAAAAATTCAAAAGTACTTACCAGTTTTCACCAATTCTTCAGCAGCAAGTTTCAGTGCTTTTTCTGTGTCTGAAATGGCTTTTTGTAAAGTTTTTAAGGAATTTTGCTTAGGGAAAAGACTTGAGTGCTTGGCCATAATATGTTTATCATCAACAGTATCGTAGCGACGCATTGAATTATGCATTTGAGGTCTCATTCCAATCCCAAACTTCATCTGTTAACATAATATGTTGCATATAACTCTTTATAATAAATGAACAGTTATTTTACTATATACTAGTTACATACCATATGAGGAGGGGGTGGTCGAGCACCAATCATTGCTGGTGGACCAAACAGTGGTGGAGGTCCCATACTCATGTTTCTTGGTCCAACAGACCTATACCAATCGTAATACTCAACTTCTTCTTGATAGCGTCTCCGATCTTCCCATGAAAATCTATCTTCCATATCCATAAAACGATCAGCCCAAAAGTTAGACCTAAAAGTTCATAAAATTGTGTTTATTTGTTACTACCTATTACTTTAAATAACATATATTAACTGATGTCTGGAAAAATATTTTAAAATCAGCAAAATAATGACTTCAAATAAAAAAAATAACGTCCATAAGAAACAAAAAACATGTTTCTTTGGGTCCGAAATTTCAATTCAGACTCGTCATCTAAATAATCATCATATATAAATACTTAATACACATTGTTAATTTAAATGTTAACTATATGGGAAAATAATTCACGGTATATAACTAATCAGTATCATTTATGACTTCAATTTAATTAAATTTCATCCATAAGAAACAAAAAACATGCTTCTTATGGTTTAAAACTTAAATTCAGACTCGTCATCTATTTGGATCATCACGTAATAACTATAGCTACTTAAACAAAGTAATTTAAAACTACAATTACCTGTCATCTCTTACTCTAGTACCATCATGTTGCTTGTCTTTTTGCATTCTACGAGCTTCAAACCAACTAGGCTTTAATTCTACTATTAAACTAGGATCCACTTTTTTCTTGTAAGAAAGTCTATGTCTTCGACCTTTCATATGCATTTCTTTAGCATTGGGATCGTTAAATTTGCACTCACATAATTTACAGTTGAAACTCACCATTTTACCTAAAACAAATTATAGTCTTATCACATTTAAACTATCTTTAACACAATTGTTATTCTAGTTGGTAACACCAATCAAATTTAGAAGTATTTATTTAAGTATTAAAAGTTGTTACTCATAAAATGTAAAAACATACCGGTCTCATCTTTTATTTCTTCTATGTATTCCATTCCAACCAGTAAAACATCAGTTTCTCCTGTTATAATAGGAGTTATAACAGGAGGTAGACTTTTAGTTTCAGTTTTAACGGTAACGACTGGAGAAACATTAGCTTCAATTTTTGGAACAACTGTCCCCAATTTTCCAGCTAAACATTATTTTTTTTTAAATTACACTTGAATAAATATTTGTATTTATGAATAGGTACTAAATTACTTATGTTACTAATAAAAACACATATATATATAAATATATATATTACCTGCAATAAAATTCACTTTGGGTGTAGCAGATTTAGTAACAACTACAGTGTCAGTATTAGGTGGTGGAATTGGTTTACCAAGTTTTGTATGCAAGTTGTGAACCTACAATAAATCGTAGATCAAAAATAGTTATTAAGTTATTCTTTAAAAATAAAAAATGTATGTACTAAATTAAATAAATTCTATCAGATATTATTATCATCACTATACTCTTCAGAGAGCTGGGTATAGAATAATATTGTATCATCATAAAATATAACAGAATTAATCATACAGGTGTCTGATGACTTTAAACGAAATTTCAATATTTTAAAATATAAAACTTTCAGACAATTTTCTCAACAAAATATTTTCAGAGAGCTGGGTTATAGCAAAATTGATGTCATCATAAAGATATTGCAAAATAAAGCTAATGTAATATACATTATAGCTATAATAAAGTAAAATTTCACGTAAATAGACAATATTATATAAAATTAAAACCTACAAGTTTAAGAGAAAGCAATAAAGCCATCTTTCGTGGCAATTAAATCAATGCTACTATTTAAGTAATAACTATCAGAAACAAAACTCAACACTTAAAATTTTTCAGAGAGCTGGGTATAGAATGAATATTATCATCACATAGTTAAAATAAAATATGTTCAACAATATAACTAATATCGATACATGGGTTTTTTCTAACCAATACTACGGACAAAAAAAAAAGGGATATTGGTCAAAAGTAGTATTGGCCAATCCCTACTTATATTAGAAGAGAAAGTGATTAAAACTGAATACAATACTATTAACTAAATATAACCTTCAGATTATAATCTCTCTACATTTTTTTTATTCAGAGAGCTGGGTATAGAAAAATCATATCATCATTAAGATTATAATTTAATCAACTGAGTACATACAAGTTTTAAGCCAGAAATAATATTTGTTGTTAAGCCTACAAAAATTAGCGATAATCAATGCATCAATTAATATAATAATAAAAGATTAAATAAATAGTTTATTGATAATATGGAATCTCGTATGGAATCATATGATATTATCTAAATAACTAGGTTTAATGATAATCAGAAATTTAACTCAACATGTAAGTTTCTTCAGAGAGCTGGGTATAGTTTTTTTATCATCATTATAATATGTAAAGACTTGGTTAACTACTAATACATACATTATTGTTTGTATTTCAAACATGTAACTCAGACAACTTCAATCGACATTATGCTTCAGAGAGCTGGGTTAGTTATATATCATCATTGTATGCACAAATATTTTTTCACATTAGTAATTAACATCACTTCATGCAGAAACTTACTTTCTGATGTTTTGAACCCCTTAAATGTGCTGCATATGAATCAGCACCTGTACAAGAAATATCGCAGAGATCACAGTGAAACACTTTCGTGGCTGGATTATTTGAAGGTTTGTTAACATTTACAGTGGACAACTTTGAATTAGCTTCACGCTTCTTATGTTTTTGGCCATCAAGATGTTCTTTATAAGTCTAAAGGCAACATAAATTGTTTAGTTAATAATTATGATACTTCTAAATAACTAAATATTTCTTCATAAATAATATTGATAATTACTTGAGTTCCAGCACAGCTAATACGGCAGACTTCGCAATAATGAATTTCCTGAGATCGGCTTGCAAAACCTAGCCTATTGCCACCTTTAGCACCTCCAGAAAAACCAGTAGTACTTTTTTTAAACCAGTTCTGTCTTTTTTGTGCATTATTAGGTCGTATTTGATTTTGATTTTGGGTAGGAAAATTTGTATTAGAGTAGACGGCTTCATATCCTGGAACAGCAGGTGCTGTAAACATATATTTAAAAATTAATTGGTTGAGTGGTGCATAATTTAAATCAGGATCAAGAATTGTTTGGACTAAATGGCAGATGGGAATGGAGAACATTTTTTTAAATAACTTTAATTTTTAATATTTATTTCACAATTTGAATTTATTGACATTTCGGTATAAATCCTTAATTTAACAAAAAAAATAAATAAACAAGAGTAACAATAACAGAAATACCTATAAATTATACATATAATATAATATACATGATCAGGACAACAACAAAAAAACTGTGAAATCAAAATATACCTTTTGATAGACAAATTTTCACAAGTCTAATGAAGGAACAATATTATAGTATTTAACATTGTTTTATTTAATGAAATTGTTTTCCCAATATTACAGAATTGTATTTAAATCCTTAGAATTAATTATTTGCAATCAAAGTCAGTAAAATAATTAATATAAATTATAAAATTGTATGTTCTTTTCTTTTTTTTTCGTTTAGTTTATCTATAATAAAATACTTTAAGCCAAACCTTTATTTGTAGTCTGGTTAGGGGCAACGGCTGCAGACTGGATTGGATATGTGACTTTTTGTTGCATGGCAGAACTAGTAGCATATGCAGCTGCATTAGCTTGACATTGTTTCTTTGGAACAACTCCTGTAGTGTATGTAGTAACGGCCTAAAATAAAAAATCATGTCTTCTAAATTATAATTAACATACGTGCGAGAATACTAGTTAGTTAACTACATAGTTGTATCAGAAAAGATTAAGCCATTTCGTTAATCAAAATAATATTCATTCTTTGTTTATTCATCATATAAAACTATAAAAATTAAAATAACTACCTAGTTTATTGATTAATATCATAACAATCTGATCAGTTTCTGTTAGAATAACATAATTCAAATATATTTTTCAGAAAAGATTAAGCCATACTATTAATCATAGTAGTCATATTTAATTTTTTTCATCATATGCCTAACAGACAGAACTTTCATGACACCATATTACTACTAAATTACAATTTAAACTCATTATATCACCTTAGAAACAGTTTTATATACATTTCAAATTACTCCAAATTACATTTCAGAAAAGATTAAGCCAATATTATAAATCATTGATTATCATACTTTCATGATTTTTCATCATTAACATAAATTTTTCTATAAATTAAGAATAATATTTCATATAAATAAATAACAAGAAATATTTGTAACTTAAAAATGTAAATCAAAACAAGTGAATGACTGAAGTTTAAAATAAGTACCTCCTTTCAGAAAAGATTAAGCCAATATTATACATCATAATATTCAAATATTTGTATTTCATCACTCTTTAATAAATTATATATAAAGTTTGTACAAAATTGTACTAGAATATAAACTTAACATGAAATTGTATTAATTTTATTATTATTACGATCAATAGCAGCATTAATACCAAACGTAATTTGTCTTAAACTCATTAACACCTAATAGACTAATGGTTACTAGTTCTTAATTGATAGTCTGTATGTGTTTGTGCTTGATTGGATGACACTTATTCATGAGACCAACTTATAACCAACGACTCACTTGTAAACAATATTTTCTTAATTTTCATGTTTAAAAAAAAAATACAAACATGGGCGAAAAGCAAAAAAAATTCATCATAATTATTATATGTAATGAAAAAAGGTGTTCCGGTCCAAATTAAGTTTTAGATAGGGGTCTGGCTAACTAATTGGGAACCACTGTAATAGACTACATTGGTTGCAAAATGATTACTGCGCTAAAAACATTCTCTGACTCAACAATCAATAATATTTTAAGGGTTGTTCTTGTCTGAAAATAATTCAATTTAACCAAACTATTATAATCAATATTTAGTAAACTTGTTTAACAAAAATAAAAAAATAATTGCATTTTATCCCCAAAAGTCAAGCTAAGTTTGGCAATGCAACATATATTATGCGACCGACAGTGATTTTTAAAACATACCAATAACATTAACCATCAAAACAATAAGTATATTATGTAGCAGTAACCATAAAATATTGTCTAGTTTATCAAACTAAAATAGAGAAATATGAGAGGATTTTTATGTTAATTTTGGCAAGACACTTAATTATATGGAGGACAATTATCATTTTCATTAAAGTAAAATATATTACATTTTACTTTATAGATAACTTGGTAGAAACGAGAAATACAGAGAGCAAGAATGGAACGATTACTTTGGCATACTTGTATGGTGGAAAGCGGAAACCGAAGGAATTATTATATCATATATTGTGAAGAAATTAAAAATAGTTACATAATAGGAGTCTGTGATAATACAGAACAAATGTAAGATGAAACATACAACACACATCTTGAATATATGTAATGAAAGTACAATGAAATATAAATGATATAATATTAATAATGTCATTATGGGCCACACCATTAAAATTATATGCATAATTTTAAATTAATATTCTTACTTACTTGGTATGGTGCATATTGTGGCTGAGTGGGGTAGGCTTGTTGTGCATAAGCGTTTTGTCTGGTATCATATGCTGCACTATTGTAAGCTGCTTTTGCTAAAAATATAATTGAAGAAGTAGGTATAATACGCTAAAATTATAAATAGTATAAAATAAAAATGTATATGACAAATAGCTCTATCCGAAATGTAAAACACAATATTCTATGGTAATATCAGGGAGCTTTATGCATCAGATTTCTTATTGTAAAATAATAATTTAACAGTTGATGGTCAGTCAGTGGTGTAATTGGGGTGTGGCAACTATAATTTGTAGTATACAACATAATCAAATTTGTAAGTTTTTATATATGAATTATACTATTTATCATATTGACATTAGTAAATAATTTGTACTATAATAGGTACCTATGATTATACATAATATTTTTTATATTCAGTTCGGAATAAGTTGTAGCTTTTTGTTAATCAATATTTTGATGACCTTTTTAAAATATTCATGACCCCTCTATACACATTTTTGTATCAGAAAATTGAGGCCACTGAAAAGAGATAACAGGGATGAATATTCATAATAGCATAAAAAGAGGAATTGCTATAGTACCAAAAATATAAACCAAATTATACCACTGATGAAAATAAAATATGTTTGAAATTTTTTAACATTAAATAGTATTATATAAAAAATTGTTACACTCAAAAATGAAACAATCATAAATATATAAAATATCAAAATTAGTTAATAACTTAACTTGCGAACATGAACTAAAATTTAAGTCAGTACCTATTAAATAACCAAAATGTATAAAGATGCAAGTATTCATGAAGTTGACAAGTGTTTTTCCATGAAGAATTATCAGAACAAATTGTGTGCCTATTCTATTTAAATAAATTATTAATATGAATACCATAAGCAGATTGTGTCGCAGCAGCTGTTTGATAGGATGCTACATCATATGCAGTTGCAGCAGCTCGTGGAGTTGTATAAGTAGCCGGTGGTACGGCATATCCAGCTTGTGGGGGAGGCTGATATCCAGTTGCAGTACTAAAAAAATGTTTACATTATAATACAATAATTAAGATTAATTATTACACATTATAATACAATAATTCACATATTACACTATTGTTTATCCATTACCTATAGTAAGCTCCTTTATTTAATTATTTGAGCCCAAATAGTCCAAAAAATATTTATAATTAGGTCATAAAACAAAATTCAGCCCTATGGTTACTTATTCATGGTAAGAATAAAAAAGTAAACCACTAACTGAGTAAAATTAGAGGTCACTATGCACCCTACCGTAGGCATAATATACATACTGAAAGCAATAACTAAAATTCAGCACTAGCCAATGATTAACATCCAGTGACAGTACACTCGAAGTTATCGAATAAAAGGACTTTGTTTCTGCTTGGTAACTTCCTGCTCAAATCAGACTGCATCTACAAAATGCAAGCGAGAGAGCAGTTCAATTATAACCTGAATAGAATGTACTATAAAATAATAGAAACGATACATGTTTTAAAATCTCTCATTCACAAATATATTTTTAAAGTGGCATTTAAATGAAAATATGGAAAGAACCAATTACCTTTGTACAATTAACAAACTCAAGGCAATAACATAAAATAAATTACAATAATAGAGCTGATCAAAAACTTAGCTTCCAAAATCATCAAAATTTCACAAACTAATATATTGAACATGAGACATAGGTACCTGGTAAAACAGAAAAAAAATCAAAAGCCAGCTAATAACAGATAGATAAAGGGATGTAAGAAAAACCAGGATAAACAGTAACACGAAATATGTCAAACAAAAAAAAAGAATCGATTATAAGAATTGAAAAAAAGAAAACAAGCGTTTTGTTTAAGAACGCAGTTTATCATGGCATGCGTGTAAAGCGTCACACCATCGGACGACCAGAGAAATATTCCCAAAATGTTTTAAATCAAGTCGGCGTAAAACGAACCTCGAAATCGATTGGGGTTGAAATTGTCACACGAGGAAACGCCACATCGTACACCCACGAGTTAGTGCGTCAAATAACTCGGCGAAATCCCATCGAACTTTCCTGACGACCTCGTGTGCGGTTACGATAATTGTTATTATTACTATTATTATTAATATAACCTAGCACGTCATGCATTGCGGCAATTACGAAAACGACGGTTTGGCAATCAGCAGGGGCAATCAAAGAGCGCCGCCAGGACTTTGTAAACAAACTTACGCGTATTGGGTGCCTCCGTGAGTGAATCCGAAATAATTGTTGGCGGCCATTAGGGTGAATCGATTTCACTGACGAAAAATCGCCGGGCAAGAACCGGGATAGGTGGCGGCGTCTGCGGCGACAAACAGCAGCGGTTCAGCAGCAGCAGGTGCAGTGCATCACCGACGACCGAGTCTGTGTGCTTGACACGCTGTTTGGAAGACGCTGGTTAACGATTGACAATTAAATAACAGATCAGACGACGGTTGGCGAAACAGGAACTTCATTCCTCTGTAACACAATCGTTCGTCGGCAACCGACATAAAATGGCGTCACATCTAGCCGTCCGGCACCCTCGGCCCTCGGCAGCGCCTGTTGTCAAGCCCAGCACAGTCAGTGCCGCCAACACAGTTCGCTGTGCTGCTAGACATCCATCATTTTTTTCGCCATGCAAACCAAGGTCATCAATTAATATCCTACAAATAATTTACTCTATGATTATATCAGAGTAACCATTGTCATAGAATATACGGTATTATTGTAACCGTGTTCAGTAGTGATATTTTTATCACAAATCGTGTTATCTAAACCATTGAGATACTTTGAAGCCCAAAACGGTGAAAGCGAAACTCCAGACTCCACTACTCCAGTACTCTGCTATATAGTCAACTAGTACTACTATTTAAAATTTCAAGTTTCAACAGTGCGCCAGTTCGGTCCACGGCAGTCCAACCCGTCAATTAGGGGTGCCTATTCTGCGAGCTATCCATGCGGTTTAAGACTGTAGTACAGTATCTATCAGAGTTAAATCGTGGCTATCCAACCGTTGAACAGTATTGACTAAAATATATTATTTAGTGTACGAAATACACGGTTTTCAAAATGAGCAGCAAGGTGGTAAACGAGAGTAGCATGTTCTACATTGACTTTTGTCCAAATTGCTCAAACATTCTTCATTTGGACGAGTATTTGGGAGAGATGAGACAAAAATGTCAAGTGTGTCCGTACTTCTCAGCAATCAAAAACGTCATGCTTGCTTCCCGATCGTTTTACAAACTAAAAGTAAACTATGCTTTATTATCAACAAACAAGTCGGAATATTGTATTATATTTACATTAGTTATAAGTACAACGATTCTCGTTGATAGAAATTGCCATATACTAGAATTCAACTAAATTGAAAAGGATTCGTATGTTTAAATTTACTTACTGAATTCTTAAGATTCTATACACAGTATTTATGGTCAAGTCTATCACAATTACAGACTATACTGTGTCCAAATTACTTTTGGTAAGAGCCTAAACTTAAAACCTATGGAATTCATAATGACTCACTATTTTAATCTTATACACACTAACAGACTTTTTTTAAAATAATGATATATCAGAGATTATAGTCAATAAAAATTGTTTTGGCAAACTAGATGTCTAGACACTGGTGTTAACACACATTCTAAATACTCTAGCCAACAGGCCATTTAGCAAGGACACAAACCAGTCATGTGTTACATACAATTTTAAAGAAATTGAAGATAGGAAAATTTAATAGTCGGTAAAGAAGAGCAGCATTATACTTGTTGCTTTAGGTTGGAAAATATCTAATGACACGCCTGCTAGCTAATATAACTAATTTCAGTTACTGCACACATAATTTTTTCCAAATATTTTGTATCATGATTTAAAAAATGGAATATTTGTTCCTCTTCAGTTTAGGTTTCTAATAAATAAAACGGTATAGTGACGTATTAATTTTTTGTTTTATGACTAAAATTTTATTCATAATAATTATAATAATGAGATTATTTTTATAAATACCATAAATTTGATTTATGTACATGCCTATAACATAATGTAAATTATAATTAATTCATACTTGTTTTGTTACAAGATCATTGGCCCAACTAGAAATAGCTTAGTCCCCCCCCCCCCCCNCCCCCCCCCCATAGATATTGGATGATAAGTCGCAAAAAATAAGAGCCAAACTTTTTTCATTTTGTACTTATAACTATAAAATATTTAAAAAATGCTCTCGAATACATTATAAAAATAAATTTGAATTAATACAATATAAAGGAATCATTAGGAATGTGCATGATTCTTTTGTTTGGTGAATCACTGAATAAATATTATTTGCATAAATATGTTGCTGTGTATTCAAAAAGTATACAAATATATAATCAATTATAATTAGCTACCTGCAAAATATTACTTTAAAAAAAAACTGCAAGATTTGGTATAGATGTAACAAGAGTGATACGGGAGTTTTGGGACACTATATAGGTATAGCTTATAATATGTATATGTACATGTAGCATTATTATTAAGCATAAAGATTCTAATTAAATTTGTTTAAAGATACTTTTTCCCGGGGATTTTTTTAAATGCCAATGGGGACATGCCACACAAATAAGAAAATATGAAGACAACAATCAGCCGCCAAAAAAAAAATGATCCTAGTTCTGCCTATGATATATTATTTTAAGTTATAAATCAATGACAATATAATTATGAATTTTAATATTTTTACTTACAAATATTAAGTACTATGAACCTAGATATTTAACAATTTTTTCATTATATGTTAAGAGTTTTCCATCCTATGGATAACATTATGTTACATTGTTAGTATTATAATATAAGACTCACGCCCTTGTGTAATCGTCATATACATGAAACTTCCATTAAAATATTTTATTGAAACAATTATTAATAACTATCGTAGTGGTTAAAATGTTAACTGAATCAGGTTGGTTTGATGTTCAATTAACTTGATTTTTTTTATATGAAATTCAAATATATGTTTTCCTTACAACTCTAGACTATAACCATGTTCAGACTATTACAAACATCTAGAAATGTTGCCTTAACCCAAACAATTATCTTTCAATCAAATTATTATACAGCAATATTCAATAATTGTCATTCAATCAATTTAACAGTATAATAAGTGCATTTGTTTTATTGTCTTTGAATAAAACTATTATTTTGTTTTACACACAATTTACTCAATTGTATTAAACACTATGGTTTTAAATATTAATAGTATTATAATCTAAATATTTTTTTTGTAGGAAATAGATTCAGTTCTGGGAGGCAAAGCTGCTTGGGAAAATGTGGATTCAATTGATGTAGTTTGTAATTCATGCAATCATGGCAGAGCGTACTTTTTACAAGTTCAAACTAGATCAGCAGATGAACCTATGACTGTTTTCTATAAATGCTGTAATTGCGGACACAGATGGCGAGAATAAATTGTTGACAAAGAAATTTATTATTAAGACTTAAAGAATATACCTAATTAATATCAATTATATACTAAAATAAATAACACATGGTTTATAATTTTAAAATTAGATTTTTATTCTATAATTATTCTTTGATAGTTAAAACACTACAAAATTGTTGTTTTTTTTTACAACAATCAAAAGAAAACAAAAAATATTTATTTACAAAGAAACTGTACATGGGAATATTTGCCTTAAGAGCTATAATTACTTTATTTATTCATCTTGTGTGCAAAATATGGAAATAAAAATAATTAATCAAATTAATATAAAAAATAACTTATGATAGCTCTACGATTATATAAAACCAAACAACAATTAATTGGATTTAAAAATTATCATAAAAGGTTAAAGGACTTCATACCTGTATAGACATAATTGTCTAACAAATGCTTAAAACTACATTTTTATTCAGAATCACTGACCTGCAAATATGTTATATTTAGTATTAAAGGGAATTGCCACATTATCAAACTTTTCTAATTACCTATATAAGATAATTCAATTTAAAAGTGTTTCCTCAGTTTAAATTAAAATATTGAGAACACAAATGTTTATATCTTTAATTTAGATGGTAAATTATAGGCCAGAGTACTTTACATATAAAAATAACATGTTTGCAGATCATAAATTAACTATGTTATGATAGAGATAACAACCGTTGTTTAACATCTTCTAAGGAAATCAGTCTCACATTTTACTATGAATTTTGTGCATTGTCGGAATATTATAAATACCAATAACACAACAACATAGCAAGATTTAGCCCACTTTGGTGCTTATTATATTTCATTATAAGTTAAGTTGTTAAAACTAAAATTAATTATACAAATTAAAGTTTAAGACTAGAATGGTATTCACCACACAATGTCGCAGTAATTTTTTACAAGCCCTATAAGTACACTTGTATAGTAGCACAGAAACCTTCTGTACACACCGGGCACTCGTGCATATCTGCTGCGCATTTGACGCACGCATAAACATGTCTACAGGGTATGAATGCTGCTGCCATTTCTTCTTTATGACATACTTTGCAAAGCATTAGGTCTAATTGTCCGTCTGAACACTGTGATGAACTGCACGGTAACTGTTCGAGATCTTTAACATTTTCTTCGTCCATTGATAAGTGTACCCTCATTACCATACTGAACGGCTGTCTACACACAGCGCACTGTTCTAGTGTTAAAGCACATTGAATACACGCAATGACATGACCGCAAGGGATAAAAGCCACTTTCATTTCTTCTTTGTAGCAAATCTTGCACAGCATAGAATCGGGCATTGTATTAGGATCACGCTTTTCAGAAAGATGAATGTTTGCATCAGGTAATAATTTGATTTGAACTATGTTAGAAATATCTGACTGATCAATTTTTCTGTAAAAACAAAAAAAACAAAAGATGTAAAACGAATAAAAAACATTTTATCGATTTATTAACAGATTAATATTATTTATAATATTGTGCTTAAAAAAAAGTAAAAGAAAATGTTTTGCGGTGTATTCAAATGTTAAATTAGTTTGAGACAAGCAATGAAAATACATTTTATGAATATGTTTGAAATTTGAGTGCATTAAAAACTTTAACTACTAACTAAAGTTCAACCACAAAATATGAAATTCAAGGTATAATACCTAGGTGTATGATGTTGACAGACAATGTGAATCCTGATTAAAAAAAAAATAAAAATAAAGAAATTTATATTGTAATAATATAAATGTCAGAATGTAATATAATCATACAATTCAATGACTTAAATTAAATATTTAACTGGATTCAAATTTCTTATTTTCAGATTTGTTGAACAAAAAAAAATATTGAAAATGCATTAAAATCAAAATATTGCTTTTCTTATTAAATACTTTAACTTATTATTCAAGAAACATACCTTTTTGTAGAATTTACTTTCATATTATTTTCAGTAATGGACGTATCCTTATGTTCAGCAATCAGCTTGAATAACTCCTATAAGAACATTTTAAGGTAAATTTCTAGTATTGCATCCATATAGTGATTGACAAAACTATTAAATTACCGTTGGGTTAAATTTCGTGCTGGTCACACCACATGCTTTGTCGACAAAGTTTTTGCCTTTATTTAACAACACGTAACTGCAAGTTTCTGACCATCTGGCATGTTCTGTCCATGGTTCATCGTCATCTTCCCAGTCCTTAAGGCCTTGACTGCAGTAGTAACATAACATCTGGTCATTTGTACCATTGCCTAAACAATTTTAACAACATTAATATGAGAAATTAACTAGTTAAGTAAAATATTATCATCTTACCTATATAAAAAAATCCAGCCTCGCATAGAGTTTGAATATCTTGTTTCAATGGTATCAAACATTTTTCAAATGATTTCAAACGTGCTTCTAAGGTGGCAAAATCTTTATGCTTAGGTGGTTTCATTTGTTGTAGAATACCCACAGAATCTAAAAAATCTTGAACCTTCTTTGACTCGTGATTGGATTGAACATCAGCAGGAGCAGAACCATAAAGGCCACACACATCATAACCAGCTAAAAATACAAATGCATTAATTAGTTAATTCAATAAATCTGCAATAGTACTGAATACTGATCTAATACATTTTTTTATCTGCATATTATATTTAAAAAAAAAAATGAATGTCTTTAACTTATACTAAAAACTAATTTCACTAACCATATTATTTTCCTTTTTAAATGTTTTATTAAGTTTCCTCTGTAATATTTGGTTCATCCTAATCAAGCCCTAGAGCCTAGATACTTTTAGATCCAAATTTATAAATGAAACTATGTATTCCAAATGTCCAAAAGACTAATTGATTAACTAGCACACAAATCTAATACATATACAGTATACAGTTGAGTCTCGATAATCCGAAAACAGGCTAATCCGAAAGACGCGGTAATTCGAATGGGCTTGAGAATTATCTTATCTAATATATACATATGTATTTATAAATAATAATTTCCGGTAATAAAATTATCAATTATGTTTAATATGATTATTAATATTTTTATATATTCATTGTCTTTTGAAATTACGAGTTTTTACATAATTAATACAGATGAAAATAAAATTTCATAGTTTAAATTACAATAAAACTGATTTTTTTTTTGCCATAGGTAATCCGAACAACCCCTTTTCCCAATCTCGTTTGGATTATCGAGACTCTATTGTATATGATATGGATATAATTTTCATTTGACCAGTTGTGGAAGAAGCAACTTTCAGATAGAATGATAACTGATAACTTAAGAAAGGTTTGTTAACTAATGAGTAATGACCCATCAAATACACCTAAATCATAAAAAGTACTCCAATTTTAAACAGTTAGCATTAAATAATTATGTATTTCTTGTTTCTTGTGTGTAAAGCAGTATAGAGCAAAACTACTTTGGCAAGCATTAAAAGTAACACGCATTTAACATTTTTATTATAACATTACAATATTTATAGAGTTGATTATAATATTGAGCTGAGCGGTTCCCAACCAAAGGGCCCAAACGCACTTAAGTTGTTATATGAGTTTATTTGTGCTTATATTTTAAACCTGTATATTAAGTAAGTGGTTCATACAATTTTTTTTACATAAGCAGTAGCCCAAACAACTAAAATAGTTGGGAATAGCTGATCTATACTGTGTGTTCTTACACTGAGAGAACACAACTCGATCACGCATCCATTCAAATGAACATGCTCCGTTGTCTCGAGATTTAAATTCTTCTACTGGGGTACCTGAATGTGAATACACTGTAAACAGAGTCTGGCATAGTTCAACATGTGGCACTCGTGCTAGTTATGTGGTAAGAATGCGCAAACTATACCGGGTTGCGTTCTCTCAGTGTATAGAGTTTAAAACAATACTGCAACATTTTGCAATTAGTTGGAAATTATCATTCAATAAATGGAGTAGTTTTCTCTTATATGATTGCTGTTCAGTTGCAGTTATGTTATAACACACAAAATATTTATCTTTGATCAACTTAAATTTAATATCAGATTACAAAAGTATTTGATATTTACCAGAAGAATCATTAAAAAATGGACATTGTGGAGACTGACGTTTATGTTCAACAACCGGATCATCACCATGTTGCCAATAATCGAATTCCGTAGAACAAAACAAACATCTAACACGATCTTGTATGCCCAAGTAATATAATCCAGCTTTGGCCATTTGGTCAGGTGTTATAAATTGTAATTTCCACACTCCATCAAATGTTCTTAATCGATTTTCATACGTGGTCAAATCCCAAGAAGGTGTTTCTTCATCAGACATTGGTCTGGATATTGGCTCAAGTGGATTATCAGAAACAGGTTCTGTTATAGGATATGAAGAATTCAAAATGATTGGACATCCATTTGACATATGAATGATATTCTGTTCAAATTGTAAAATAGTTGCTAAAGTCTGTGAGACAGGTTTGTGATTAGGGGATGGAGCCATCTGTTAAAAAAAAACATAAATATCAATTAGTTCACACTTCAAAAATAAATGTATTTTATAAAAGAGATACTATTTGTTAAAATACATAATTAAAATAATTATTTTAATATTTTAGAACTTGACAGTACTAAAGGTAGGAGATAATGATGTATGGAAAAACTGGTTGTACTATGTGTTTCGGGACCTTGGAGTTCCAAGGAGGTGGCAGGGTGGGCAGATGTCTCCCAGCGACGTTGGCGATAAGCAATATGTTATATTTTTGTATGTTATATTTTTAATCAATTACATGGACTAGATTCCAGATATGACGAGAGATATGATTTATCCCAAAAGATTTATCCCAAATGTGCTACTCGCCTTTCCAACCATAGAGATATTGAAGCGCCTATGAATCAAGTGGCAAGGTATTTATTTTAATAAGACCAAATAGTATTTTTATTAATATATTATAAAAATAAAGAATTACTCTGTGTAAGTCTAAGTGTTCTGTGTAAACCTTTAGATTATTCTGAAAATGTTGATGTATAAAACTCTAATATTGCACCAATCGTTTATGAATGATGATAATTTTAAGTTTAAGGTATAGAAGGGAATATAAATAGGCTAGATCTATTTTTAATTAACCCTTCAAATACTCCATCAATCCAAAGTTAAAATACCTAAGTACATTCATAATTAACAAACACATTGACTAATATTAGGTACAAGCACATCAAAATATTCTCCTTGAGAATTTAAAATCAAAAGCCTGGTTGCAATTAGAAAATGTAAATATTGCTCCACCAAACAAAAATAGTTGGTCATTATAATGTCACATGAAAAACAAATACATAAGGTTTGTAGTAGTATCTATAGATAAAAATTTTAATTACAAATATTCTATGAAGTATTGACTGATTTTTGATTAAAGAAATCACTCAAATTATGCAACTAAAGTACTGGGGTAAAACAGTAATAATAATATAACAGAAGTAGACAATGGAATAATGTTTGATTAAACATAGCTGACACTAAAGGAAAAACAAAAAAAGAACTATAGTTTAATTTTTAAATTTCATAAAGTTTATAAGTAAATATATAACTATATAAATATGTTTAAAACTTATAAGTGATAAACTAATAAGTATGACCATTGATTTTTTAATAACCCATTATCAGTGCAGGTCATAAAAATGGCAATACTATAGAATCTAATTAATATCAGTAGAAACTTTTCTTATATACAGAGTGATTCACCAAATTCTTATTTGAACATATTAGCTCATATTTGAATTTAATTTTATACCTCTGCAGGATACTCTTTGAGCATAAAAATCTATTTGGAAATATTTACTTTAAGTACATTTACAAATTCTAAAAACCAGATTTTGAATGCATTATTGAAAACAAGAAAGAGTGAGCATGGTAGACGAATCACCATAAATATTAAATAAATATTTTTTATTGTATACAATAGGTAGAATGTTATTTTTAAAAAAAATGTATATTTTGGTTTTCATAAATTATAAAAATAAATAAATAAATATGGGAAATATCAAGCTTACTTGGCTAAAAAATAAACAACAGTACAATAGTGTCAAACAATGACTTTTAATTATTTTACTTAACAAAAACTGTTTACACTTTTAATGATATGGCCAACTAATTTAAATTAATGTCTAATTATAATTGTAGACAAATTAAATAATCACTACCTACATCAATACGTGATAGTATTATTATTTTTTAGTTTAAATTTTCGGTAGGTAGGTATGCCTACTTTATTTGTAACTAAAATAATATGATGCATTGATGCTATTATTTATCCAGTAAAATATGTTACATTGTAAAGACCTTCAGAGCGTATTAACATCAGAAAAACTGGCTGTAGCACAATAACAATAACAACAAAAAAGGAAACGACTCGCTAGTCGCTGGCCTCAGCTGATAATAACGTATCAATAATGCTTCTTTTCTTTTCTTTTTTTGTTAATAAGACCCTCGACTGACAAAATAAGTGTTAAGTGTCTGTCGCCTAAAACCAATTAGCTTAATGAAGTCCAAAAGCAGGAAAACACACACTCCAATCGCACAACAATCATATTGTATCGATATTTTCGAAGAGAAATCGTCCCGGGCACGATACACAATCGAGCACCGACAATGACGGCTGGATGCCCTTTAAGTAATTAGAATGACAGAAACGAAGTAAACCTCTCCACAATATCATATTAATATTGTTATCATCATCGATAGCATGGTATAAAGGAAAAGATAAATCCATGATCATTACGAAAGGTGGGACGTAAACAATAAACATCCGTTTCCGGTGGGCGTCGTATCGAAAACCATGAACGAGAACGCGTGTGATTCGGGAAAATCGATGGTGCGGGCAAAATAAAATGTTTACCCCCTCGCCCGCGCCCTGCCCACACGAGACAGGCTCTGTCACAGACGCCGCGCCCGCGTGTTGGAGGCCCACCGGTTATGTGGCGGCGTAAGAGGTGGTACAGGGCCAGGCGGCGGAAACAGTTGTTGTCCACATCACCACGATACGACTGATACCAGATGGAACGCCTTTTACGGCGGCCACGCAATAACCTTCGCGACAGCTACCTATTAAAGTTACGTAAATGGGTACCAACCGTTTTTCACGCGCCCAAACGACGACGAAAATAGTCGACACCCGGGCGATAGGTTTTCACCGAAAAGAGGACGAGACGAACGGTGGAAATAGCGGAAAACCATTGAATAATTCATAAAAACATACGGAAGAGAAAATAAAAAACAAAATAAAGAGAACACTCTACCTTGTGTGCTGCGTTTTTCCAAAGTATTTTGCGCGCGCTATGGCGTCGAATGAAAATAAAGTGTGTTGAAGTGTGACGGCGAACGAGGGGAAACAATGTTAATGTGTCCTAGATTGTGTTTTTCCCTCAGAATTCGAAACGTCGAATACCTCACAGAGATAAAACGGTGTCGGTAGCCGCTTTCGGCAGTAATCACAGCTGTTTTAAAAAAAGTAATGTTTTTCGCGTGTATTATGTCACTCGATACGAGTGACAATAATAACAACAACAACAACAACAACACCGACGTCGACGTCGGAGTGTCGGGACACGGGTGGGAAAAACTGGGAACGAAATTACAGCGGGACGAACATCACGAGAATGTGCGCGGAACTTAACGTGACGGAAAGAAGCGGCCGCAGCGAGTCCAGCAGTACTGAAACAACGATTAACGATCAACGAGAAACCGAGAACCTCCGCCGCGCTGCCGTCGCCAGACGCGTTGCACGACCCCTCTACAGTCGACCGCCGGCGAATAGGGAGCCGGTGTTACGCGCGCGCGTCGGTCGATACACAAAACCACGTCGAAATAAAATAGTGTGTTGACAACGTTTCGATTTTCGGGTACCCTACTACAGCACAGTACTGAGTACACTGCCTTTTGCCCTTTGCTCGCACTTTCGGAAAGACATTGGTACATTAGAGGACTATAACAATAGTGTTCGTTTCGACGGCCCCGCAAAAATGACGACCCATAAGATAGTAATAACGTTATTATCGTCGTTGCGTCGCAATAATAGAATATTATTATCTTATCGTGAGCCCAAAATATCTGCGAATTAAGGTTAATTATAAAAAAGTATTTGTTCGTTGTCGTCCTCAGCGCAAGATCCTTGGAGATTCTAACATTCGCTGGCTCTTTTTACTAACTCCTCGTCCACGCATAAACCAGAGTAGTTTCCTACTCGTCTGTGCTGCTCGTCTACGATTTTCCGTTTTGAAAATTGTCGTTTTAATTCCCTCTTTGTATTTTTTTGTGCGATGAATTTCCATACGAAAAACAACAGAATGATAAAAACACATGTTTATTATGCCGATAAACGCGGAATGTGTTTACTGTTTATGACATACGCGCAATTATTTATTTAAATTAGATTTGAGGCGTATACTCGAAGTAAACACATATTAACACTATAGACGTAACATATTATACCATCTTACGCAGTACACATGATTATTGCTTTTAGAATATATCATCAAATATATTGCTTTGCATGGAAAGAGTGACGAATTATATTATAAATAACTACACCAACATCAATCCAGCCCAAAATATTCAAAATATTTGACAAAATTACAAATTTGATATAAAACCAAATAGATATTAAAATGTTATACCTTGAGAAATCAGCAGTATGTACTTCTGTATTTTACTCGAAAAGTCGTACAGCTCTTAAATTCGTGTGGAATGCAATTCTTGATTGTACATAATATGTACAACGTCAAACTTAACGAAAATTATTTAAATCTATTTTATTAAAAAACAAAAAAAAATTAACAACATAACATGTAAACTCGGTCACTGTTGGAAAACAAATGCACAAACTATTCGAGTTTCATTAGATGGATGTATAGTAATCTCAAATACTGATATACATGTTTACTCGTAAATCGTAATTATCGAATTGAAAATAAAATGTTATCTACAAAGTTATTCCAAAGGTTGTCATGAACTCATGACTAATGGCTAACATTTTGATTGCCCAAATACATTCATTCATTCCATTCGTATTGTATATATATATATTATAATATAGTAATGAAGATAGCCTCCGAGCTCGACGCCACAAATCGATTAATCCATTCAGCGTTCATTCAAAATTTCAAAGGGCTGGTCAATTTAGTTTATACAAAGCTTTAAAATATATGCTAGGTATTTGATAGAATAAATATTGAAAAAAAATCGTAGCTATATTTATTATACGTTTACTTTATAGCGTAGTCGCGTCGAGTCCGAAACTCCAAACCCTCACATGATGAAATAATTGAAACATCCTAAACATTATACATACGCATTTTGATAATGGTATTATATCACTATTCACAAAATGTTTATATAATCTACATACAATCCGCTGATAAGTATGCGTGTGACACTAGAGTCAAAAACACTATAGTGTTACAGTAGAACATGCTTTGCATACTCTGTAAATATGTCGTCTATCTATTAGTAACTATCTAAACATTCTAAACAATAAACATATTTAGTTTAACCGAAAACAATAACGAAACAAATGTATTCGAGTACATTATGACGTAATGTGCACAATAAATATTAAATTCCTATTTGCCAACCACTTAATTATTGCATGGCTGATAAATATTCATTATTTATGTTACTTTTCTAGAATAAAATTATTATTCTAGTAGTACTCTCTACGTAGTTACAATACCACGACGATTTTAAGTATTTATAAACTTCCTAGGCTTTCGACTGTTTCGGGATAATATTTAGTAAAAACAATAAAATACGTAACAGTCACGAGTGAATATTAAAAATAATTATTATAATGATTTGAAAATCAGCGGGGCCCACAGTGTGGGGTAAGGCCGTAAACCGTAATGGCGACCTCGGACCCACCACGTAGCTAGACATCGTCAGCTGGAAGACGGTAGGGGAAAAAACTAAAAAAGCCATTCAGTAATTTTATATTATTCATTGTACGAAACACAGTGCTGCCACGTTCTGTTTTCCACGAGCAAACTACGTAGTCTGTGCACATTAAGTTATTCGAGGATGTATATTGCACGGTCGCGCTATCAGCCTTGAACACCGGAAGTTGAACGTGGGAAAACAACATTTTCATGTATTATTATGGCTCAGTGGTTCATTACTAAATAATAATCCGATGTTGTTTACAATACATTTTACAACTATTTTAAAATTTGAGTACCAATGGAATTGTGGTATGTTTAAAATAAACGTATACTAAAAACCACATTGCTGTGGCCTAGATAAGTACTAAGTAGATAACTACAGAACGTTGAAACCGAATAGTCATTGAGTCGTTTAATTGAATCAGCCGCATTTAATAGCACACAGTTAATATCCAATTAAACCGAAATGGCTAAATAGGCAATCGTACATGGAAGAACATAATATTTAAATTCAATTCAAATTTAATAAAACTACTATCGCTAAAATGGGAATCGTATTTATTGTTAATTGTAATTTCCACCAGCCATGTGCCCGTAGCCCGTATTTGAAATATATTAAGTAAAAAAAAAATGATTACTATAAACCGTATAGTACATTAGTACACTGTTCACATGCTATTTTGATACGCCATTGATTAAAACTTGAATTATATTGAAAACCAAGAGAGATAATACGTATTTTTAACTTCAAAACTATTATTTTGCGTATAATTCTAGCATACGATCGCCGACTACAAGTTACGAATAGAGACTATAGTGGGCTTAATAAATAGAAATTGTTTGGTTTAAAACAAATGGAATTCGAAACAACGCAAAAATAATAATAAATAATCAATGGAAAAAGGTATATTTCTTCATTTTTCAATACAACTAAATTATTTTGCATCGTCCACGCGGTTCAGTGTTTGGGTAGTATTTCGGGCGAGATCAGCTGTGCCGATTATTATCGATTTGAGAGAAGAGCTTTTTCCAGAATTGGTAAAGTCGTGAAACAGCGAAAAGAGACAATTCCATTAGAAACTCGGAAGAAAGCGATTATTGGGTAACCGGAATCGGTGTAAGAGTCATTCTGTCATTGACCTGCTCCAACCCATATGCAGGAACGTACTATGAGCTAAAAAGAGACTGCGTAGTACTCAAAGTAGTGATAATGGCTATAAGAAGGAATCGAGAGGTAGTCGCGTAAAAATCCGCTTTGCGGTATTGCGGAGAGAAAGTGCGCGGCCGACGACCGAGTTTATCAAACTCTCTACACAGTAGATATCCACTGTTATTATTTTTGCTATTATATTTATTATTGTTGTTGTTATTACTTGTCGTATTCCTCGTCCTCGTACAACCACACTCGTGTAGACACGCACTCGTATATTTTAGAGGACTACTTAAGAGCGACTATGCAACACACACGAGTAGGGTAGTGGGTACCCATAATTCATAAATCACAATGCTAAGATGACCTAATGGCAAACGAGTGATCAGTATAACATTGATTATAAATACTTAAAATATTAAATATTATAATATTATTTCTAACCCATGTGATGCCGAACTATAATATCGTTCTATTCAAGAACCTGTATTTGGCATAATATTATACACCATATTAAAATCACTCATTAGCGAATTAGAATTTGGAATATCTGAATGTTAAATTATTCATAACTTTTGTCTCCGGCGACGGGAAGTGGAAAAAATCCCGAAATATCGTTTGCGGTGGACCGTAGAGCATTATAAATTATAATCAACTACTGTAGTTTCTGGGCCTAGTTCTTTGGTTCTGGTGAGTGCGGAGAAAAGAAAAACGCCGCGAACCATCTTAACAATAATAGAGCAGCTGGTGTCGCGGTAGATACGCGACGTGCCCCGATGGCCTCATACTCTATACAGTTATTATGGTACATCAGTGGATGCATATTACTATGATAATAATAATAATATTATATCATACAATGTGCATGTGCACATGATGGGGGGAGATGTGTAGTGTGTACTTGCACAACAGAAATGTCTAGCAGGAGCAGTTGTTCGGGTGAAAACCATCTGCCCCCGATGGCGCGCGTCCGCCCGGGAACGTGCCGCCACGTTGCCGGCCGGCGGTGTGGGAACGAAACCGGTCGGTCTATTGACGCAGTGGCGAAACGGCAACGTCGAGCTCAGCGCCAGTCGCATTCCACAAAATTTTTGACGGTCGCCGGTCGGATTATCGCCCGTCGGCCGTCGCCGGCTTGTTTATTCTTTCTCCCTTTTGGGGAATATAATATTATACCCCAAAACCCTGACCCTTTTCACTAGTTTGACACCCGGCCCTTCATTTTCAAATAATTGTAGTTTATTTTCATCCAACAAGCCTCAAGCCATTCACAAAATATTGTAAATTATGATTAACTTTAAAAGTGCCGAATCTAAGTCTTTGGAGGCTGGAACAGTGGGATGCATCCGCCAAAATATGGTCATCGGAGAACAATTATTTTACAAAAAAAAAATTGCTTTTCCATTATTAATCATACTATGCATTAATTATATTTTTTAGATTTGTATCAAACAAATTTTTTAATAAAAGCGAAGATTATTTAAAAAAAAAAATAGGGATAGAACTTTTTAATTAGACAATTTAGGACATCACTTCAAGCCCTTAAAACAACCTCAGCCTTGAGGCCCCGATGAAATTGCAGTATTGTACCCCGATAAATCTGACGTGCAATTTTCGTATACTTATATGTATGCTTACATCCTACAT